ACACGGCGCACGGCCCGCACCTGCCGGGGCGACCTCGCCTACCACTCGGCCGTCCATGGCATCGAGGACCTCATGAGCCAGCACAACTGCTCCAAGGATGGTCCCACGTCGCAGCCGCATGTGCGCACGCTGCCGCCACCAGGGGACAGCCAGGAGCGCTCCGACAGCCCCGAGATCTGTCACTACGAGAAGAGCTTCCACAAGCACGCGGCCGCACCCAACTACACGCACTGCGGCCTCTTCGGGGACCCGCACCTCCGGACTTTCACAGATCGCTTCCAGACCTGCAAGGTGCAGGGCGCCTGGCCGCTCATCGACAATAATTACCTGAACGTGCAGGTCACCAACACGCCGGTGCTGCCGGGCTCTGCAGCCACTGCCACCAGCAAGGTAAGGGGCGGTGGGCAGGTTGGGGCGGCCCTTGGTGGGGGTGGGGGTCACAGCACCCAACCCAGACGCCTCCTGCACCCACCGTGATGTTACTGTCAGTAAATGAGCACATTCTTTAGAAAGGAATGTTCTGGAGATTCTTTGTCATAGGTTAAAAACCACCCTGGAACCACTTCTGCACATTTTCCTAGAATGTGAATGTTTCTCATCTGGACACCATGCACTAGGGGTCTGTGAAATCAGCATTCTGGGGTCAGAAACCAGCATACACACGTAAATTTTTTTTTTCATTTGGGCAAGGTTGAACAGGAGAGCCAAACCTAGTATCCATTAAAGGCAGTTTGTGAATACTTTGTAGGTGGAAGGGTCAAGATTTAGGAAAGAGTTCCTGTGTGTACACGCATTGGGTCTAGATGTAAGATGGATTTCTTACTGGAGTTACAGTGCAGGAAGTTTAGAAACACTCCCAGCGCATCTAGTTTCAAACTTTTGGAATATTCTTTTCTTGCCTCCCTAAACTACGTTTCGGTAGAATTCCAGTGGTAAATCCCAATAAAGAGAAACCGATTCCGATAAAGGGAAACCTGTTTGTGGTACGTGTTCATCGTTGCCCTCTCAGAGCTTCCTGTCTAGTGAGAGGACAAGTGGACCCCGCAGCCTCCTGAAGGCGACCGTCCTACCCAGAGGTTCTCGTTGTGGCTGCACAGTAGCAAACTAGGCAGATTTTAAAAGATAGTGATTCTCAGCCCCCAAGGCCGGTCTGACTCCAAATCTCTGAGTGAGGGCAGACGTGTTCTTTTGTTAAAGTCCCTAGTGATTCTGGTGCCTGATGGGTGTTGGGGAGCCTGGTGGGAAGCCAGGGCTATGCGCTGCTGCTGGGGCCAGTCCGGGCTGCAGCCTCAGAGCAGAGAGGGACATGGTGTCTGGGTACAGGGAAGACAACAAGTGAAGACAGAGCTTCAGCCCGCTGGGCACCCCATGCAGCCTCTCCGTCCTCCCTTGGGCCAGCCCTGCCCTGCCCAGCCAGGCAGCTCCACTTGACACATCTAGAACCTGAGGCTCTAAGAGGCGAAGTGGCCTCCCCACCCGACGTGCAGTCAGCTGAGAACACCAGGCTAGGATCTGACCTGGGCCGGAGCATGGCGTGTTCTCACTGCCAGGACAGGCGGTTCCCATCTGAAGGCCCAGAGGCAACCGAGAGCTGGTCATTTTCTGACCCAGGGAGGCCTCAGTGTCTGGGTGGCAGGACTTGAGCTCTGCTCACGGGTCCACAGCCAGAGGCAGCCGTGATGTGGCCCGTGGCCCAGGCAATGGGACATTCCTGTCCACCCTAGATTCTCCCTCCCGTTTTCCAGGAGGGTCTCCTGCAAGGGTGGGTGTGGCCTCCAGTCCAGGAGGCTGGTGGGTGATCAGAGTCCCCACGATGGGGGCACCTCTGCCTCCCCTGGGCCTGGCCAGAGCCCCTGGGGTTTCCGGTTTGGCAGTAGGTCTGTTTTCCCAGAAAGAGCACGTTGCAAGGCGGCGTGTGGGGCAGCGCCAGGCTGGCCCACAAGGGCGTTTCTGTTCCTTCTTGTCCCTCCACAGCCCAGAGGAGGACAGTGAGGTGACCTGGCAGCCAGGAAAATTCCTGCCACCTCCCTCTGCTCTGGTGGCCCTTGCATGCCCACAGGGGTCTCTCTCAGGGACCAACTGCTGGGTAGGAAACAAGCTGGCCTTGGCCCCGTGGGTGTCCTTTCAGGCCTTGGCACCAGGCCATTGAAGCCTAGTGAGCAGCAAATTGTGGCTGGTGGTCCTTCTGCCCCGTCCCTACTCCCCGCCCTCTGCAGACCAAGGGGGGCCTGAGTCAAGGACCCGGCCACCTTCTCTGCGGCCCCTTCACCTTCCCGCCTCCATCCCCAGAGCCAAGATAAATGAACGCTGGGAGCCTGAGGCTGCAGCTTCTAAATCTAGCAGCAAACATACTGTGGAGGGGGGACCCCACCTCCCTGTCCCATCCTGACAGGGGGGGCACCCAGAGGTCCAGGGGGTGAGAGGGCTGTGCACCTCAGGAGGGCTGCCCCTCCTGACCCAGGGTGGGGCATCAAATGTGATAACAGACCTGGGAGGAATAGTGGTCGGTGACCAGCAAGGCAGAGCTGCTGCCCTCTTTGGGGAGGGGGTGACAGGTAGAGCAAGAGCCTTTAGGTCCCACACTGGGGGGTCCCGCAGGCTGGGGTGATGCGCCTGGGCTTAGACCCTGGACCCCACCCTAGACTCTCCACTGACGTGCAGCAGGACCCTGAGCTCAGCAAGGCAGTCCAGAAACCACATGGATGAATCATTCATTCCTGTGTTCCATTCATTCATTCAGCCCACATTTTTCAAATGCCCACTCTGTTCCAGACTCACTGCTGGACACTGTGGTCAGCAGACCTGCCCAAGCAGACATTGGCGGGGAGGCCTCCCTTCCTCTCCCAGTGTGGAGCCTCCAGAAGAGTAGGGAGCTCTGCAGCTGGGCCCCTTAACCAACCCAGACTGTTCCTGCTGCGACCAGGGGCCCCCTTGCTCTTGTCAGCAGGCTAAGGGCCCTCTGGCAGCCTTCTATTGTCTTCCCATCAGCCAGGAGGCAGCGCAAGGCTCTTGGCTGGAGGCCAGGCAGTGACAGGCTCAGTGTCTGCGGCCAGGCGGGTCTCGGGTCTCAGGGCAGACTGGGGGCCTCATGGTGCCCAGGTGAGAGATGTCGGTGGCTGGTCGCCAGCACCCTCAGCCTGCCTCTGCCTGTTCTTGTGGGCCTCCATTACTCAGCTGTGTTTGTTCCCTCGTTGATTCAGAAGACACTGACCAGGCAGCTCTTTTGTGACGGCCTCTGTTCTTGGGGATGCTTCCCTCCCAACAGCTCCCAGGCTAATGATGGAGAAGAAGCCGGCCAAGGGGTGCTGGCGATGGGTGCTTGGGCAGCAGGATGCTGAGGGCCTGGGGGCGCCTGAGGGAGGGCTCCTGCAAGTCCTTGCACCGAGCTTGCACTCGAAGGACGGACAGGAGTAGGCGGCAGCAGAGCCAAGCAGAATGTGGGCTTTTATCTCTGAGGTGGTAGGGCCGGGGGCTCTTGTGATACCCCCGCCCCCTGCAAGAGCCCTCTGCCTGACTCCCTGCTCACAGGAACCCACTCCCCTCAGCTGCAGTGCCCGCCCAGGAGTGTGATGTTGGCTGGTCCAGCCCTTCCCATCCCTCTGTTCTTTGGAGGGTCAAGATGTAGTGTTTTCCAGCCAGCTTCCTGCTCCCAGGTTCTGCCTCCCCTGCCCGACCCCACCCCCGGCCCCCCCTGCTCTGTCTCCCTCTTGCCAGCTGTGCATTTTACAGGTGGGGAAACTGAGCCTTAGGGAGGAGAGGAACTCCGGGGTCCCTGCCTTCCCCCATCCCCCTTGCAGGCCCCTCAGGAGCACTGACGTCCCCTCACCCGGCATCACTGCTCGGCTTGTCTGTGATGCCACCCCTCACCCCCCGGAATGTGAGCTCCATGAGGACCTGGGGCTTGGCCTGTTTCCTCCGCTCCTGGGGACACAGCCCCCAGTCCCAGGCCTGGCACATAGTCAGTGCTCCCTAAATAGCTGTCAGTGAAGCGGGGCTCTGCCCCCTGCCCCGCGGTGGAGAGGGCGCGGGCCCCTCCGGGAAGGGGGGCGGCAGAGAGGGGAGCGGCAGCCACACCCGTGGCCGCATTGGCAGCGAGCCGCCCGGCTTTCGACAGGCCCCCTTCATGCTGTTACTTGTGGTTGAGTCCCTGGCACTGGTGCCAAGAAGAGTCAAGCGGCCTGTCAGCCTTCCAGGAGACTGTCTCCACGAGAGATGGCGGTTAGAGCGAAACCAGCCTTTCCTGTTCCAGGGAGGCTGATGGCCCTTGGAAAGCCGCTCCCCCCCTCCCGCCCCCAGTGTCTGTGTGTCTGTGTGGCCCTGCACACCAGGCACACCAGGCAGGGACATCGGAGCCCCTCATCCCATTCCCCTCCCTCAAAGGCAGGACCACCCACTGCCCAGACCACCCCGGCTGGCCCACCTCCCGGCCCCCCGCAGGCAGCCTCCACATCAGGGCAGGAGCCTTGGATGGAGCAGGAGGTGGATCCAGGTGAAGTGGTAGGTCTGGGCGGGAGGGGGGGTGGCCGTTCCCTGCGGTTCAATACGTAGGACTCGCTCAAGGCGGGATGGAGAGGCTACAGCCACCTTGGACATCCCACAGCCTATGACCTCCAGGGAGCCCCGGGCCCAGGGAGCTGTGCACGTGGCCCCCGGCATTCAGCTTCCGAGCCCAGCCCCTCCTTGTGTCCCAGGAAGACTCCAGAGTGTGCCCCGTGCCCACCCCGCCGTCACCCCTCAGGCCCCACAGGCGCAGCACGGTGGCCCCGAGGCTTCTAGGGCCCACGAGGAGGCTTTCCTTCCTTCTCAAGGCAGAAGGGAAAAGTCAGTGTCATCCCACCTAGACTGTATTAGTCTTCACACCGACGCAATCCAGAAATGCGGCTTTCAACCCTTCTGATGGAGGACGGGCCCCACAAAGCCTCAAGCGCCTACAAGTCTCAGGCGTCACACTGCGGCCTGCATGCGCCCCTAACACCCTCTCACCCTTGCATTTCTCAGGAGCAGGGTGAGAAGGGCCAGGGTCTCGTCTGAGTTCCCTCTAAAGGCCTCAGGCTCCTCATATGCTCCCTGCCTGATCGCCACTGAGCTTTACTCTGGTGGTGTGGGCAGGAGGACCCACCGAGCAGTGATGAATCAGAGCCAGGGACACCTCCACCCCGGCTCTTGCCACCCTGTTGGGGTGCTCAGCCTTGAAATTTCTGCAGCCCCTGGGCCACCTCTCTCTCCAGTCCTCAGCACCTGCTCCTGAGGCCCCAGGCAGAGGCCACTCCCTGCCAGCCTCCCCCTAGGCCTCCTGGCTGTGCCCCAGCCACCCCAGAACTGCAGCCAGACATGCTCCAGGCCTGGGCCCTGCCTGTCTGGGCTGGCCTCTCCCTACCCTCTGCCTGAGCTGAGGTCCGTCTGCAGCTCTCCCCACCATCCCTTCCCCATCACAGTTGCTCTGGGTCTCCTCTTTGGTGCCTGGCACGGAAATTCGCCTTAGTGCCTTGAGGTGCTGCCCTCAGCCCGCAGGCTACCCCAGGCCATCTTCATGCCTCTAAACAGCCATGTACCCCGGGCTGCCCAGGCAGAGAATTCAGCCATGGCCAGCCATATGTGTCATCAGCAGCTCCCTGCCCCTTGCTGGAGCCCCCCAGGTCTAATATGTTATGAGGAGGCATGGTACCCCTCAGGGAGCCTTGTGAGCCAGCTGGCGAGGCCTTTCTTCTCCAGGTTTGGTGGCATGGGTGAGGGGACAACAAGGCCTGGAATGGTGTACAGGGGCCGTGCAGAAGTTGGGGTGGGGGGTCCTTTTAGCAGGGGGTTCCAAAAAGCCTGGGCACCGACTTGCCCCCATCACCCTGCCTCCCTCCCTGGCTTTGGGCTGGGAGTCCAGGTTCCAGTGGCCCTTGGGCCCGGGGGTGCTGTGACCACAGAAGTACCCAGAGCCACCAGTGGTAAAGCCACTGGCACCCACAGCAGGAACGTCAGTGGGGCCGTTTCCCAGTTTCCCTCGTGTCTCCGCCCCGTACAGTCTTCCCGGTTAGGATTACGGAGGAAGGAGCAGCCGGACGTTTCACCCTGGGTGGCGGGGAAACACATCATTCCCTCGGCTGTTTCTGGCTCTTATCCTTCTCCCAAGCCTCCCACCCTATGGCTCTGCGGCCAATGAAATGCCCAGGCACTGGAAACCAAGAGCTTAATCCCACCTCTGCCTCTTGCTCGCTGTGTGACCTCGGGCAAGTCACTTTCCCTCTCTGAACCTGAATTTCCTTATCTGTAAATCAGAGGTGATGTCACCTGCCCTGCTGCACCGCACAGGACAGGAAGTAATGAATGTAGTGAGCGTGTCTGTGGTTCTCAGGAGGACAGTTACTGATGGAGCCACTCAGCTCTCTGCTTCTCCAGCAGCTCAGCACTGCCCCTTGCCCCAGCCTCAGGCTCCAGCAGAAAAGGGCCTCCCTGCTCCCCTGGCTGTCCCAGTCTGGAGCCCCCTTCTCCCTTTTGCTGACCGGCCCCTCCCTCTCCTCCCTGTGCCTCCTGCTCACCTCCAAGGCCCAGCTGGTTACCCCTCGGGGCAGCCCTGCTGCGGTGGCCTCTGCTGGCCTCTGGTCACCTGCATGGATTTTGCTTGCTCGTTCTTTCTTTGAACGTCAGCCTTTTCCATTTCACCTGCTGTTATGTTCGGCCAGTGGCTTGCAGCCCTTTTCCAGGAATTCTGCTGCGGGTCCCCTGGCAGTGTGAGAGGTGATGTTAGATGGTTGTGGGCCTTATGCGTTTCCTACTGCTGCTGTAACAAGTACCACAAACCTAGTGGTTCAGACGAAAACTTACTCCCTTATACTTCTGAAGGTGAAAGTCTGAAATGGGTCTTACAAGGCTAACATCGAGGCAGATGCTTCAGCAGCTCCAGGGGGAAATCTGTTACCTCTTTCAGCCTCTGGGGGCTGCTGGCATCCTTCAGCTTGAGGCCGCATCATCTCTGTCTCCATGGAAACGCAGCCTTCTCTTCTGTGGTCAGATCTCCCTCTGCCGCCGCCTTTTGAGCGCATGTGATCACCTTTAGGGCCCACCAGGAAAACCCAGACTCCTCCATCTCAGTAACTATAACGTAATCCCACCTGCACAAGCCTGTTTGCCATATGAGGTCACACGTTCACAGGTTCTAGGGATTAGGGCCTGATACCTCGGAGGCCATGATTCGGTCCACTGCAGTGGACAAGGACCTTCTGTTTTTAATTGGCTATGCTTTTCTTTTTATGGTTCACCTCTGCTTATGGTCAATGAACTGGTTCCCACTTAGTGTAGTAGTATGAAGTTCCCCTTCTAGTCAGAAAAAATTTTTAAGCAAAAAAGCAAATTGTTTTAAAGAACAATATGAAATGCATAACAGGGCAGGTGGCACTGAGCTGTGACCAGAATGGGGGACGGACAGTCTGGGGCATCCTGGGGGCCCCTGCCATCCTTCCTCGGAGTCCAGAGCATCATAAAAATGGGGCTGGGCCTCACGCCCTCTCTGTGTCCCCTTCCCCGCAGCTCACCATCATCTTCAAGAACTTCCAGGAGTGTGTGGACCAGAAGGTGTACCAGGCTGAGATGGATGAGCTCCCGGCTGCCTTCGCCGACGGCTCCAAGAATGGCGGGGACAAGCATGGGGCCAACAGCCTGAAGATCACGGAGAAGGTGTCGGGCCAGCACGTGGAGATCCAGGCCAAGTACATTGGCACCACCATCGTGGTCCGCCAGGTGGGCCGCTACCTGACTTTCGCGGTCCGCATGCCCGAGGAGGTGGTCAACGCCGTGGAAGACCGGGACAGCCAGGGCCTCTACCTCTGCCTGCGGGGCTGCCCCCTCAACCAGCAGATCGACTTCCAGGCCTTCCACGCCGAGAGCCCCGGTGCCCGCAGGCCGCCGGCCGCTAGCCCCGCCCCAGCGGCCCCCGACACCTTCCCGTACGAGACGGCCGTGGCCAAGTGTAAGGAGAAGCTGCCCGTGGAGGACCTCTACTACCAGGCCTGCGTTTTCGACCTGCTCACCACGGGAGACGTGAACTTCACCCTGGCCGCCTACTACGCGCTGGAGGACGTCAAGATGCTCCACTCCAACAAGGACAAGTTGCACCTGTACGAGAGGACTCGGGAGCCCCCGGGCCGGGCAGCCTCTGCGGGGCCGCCCTCGGCCCCCCGGCCCCTCTTCAGCAGCCTCTTGCTCCTGACTCTGCTCCCTGCGCTCTTGGAGGCTGTGTAGGATGGAGAGCCAGGCGTCCCTAAGCTGGTCGGCGGCTGCACGCGAGAGCTGGTGGCCCCACACTCCCTGCAGGGGTCTGGAACCCAGCCAGCCACATGGGACGGTTACCTCCGAGCTGCCTGGGGCTGCCTGCTGGCAAGGGCTGGGGGCATGGGGCATCCCCTCCCCTCCCCGGGGCCCGTGACAAGGTTGTGGTGACCGGTGCTGTGATGTTTGTGACAGTAGAGCTGTGCAGAGGGAGAGCTGCTCCTCTCCGCCTGCCCCGCCGTGTGAATGTGCAAATCAGAGCCCCTCAGGCCCAAGCCCCCGCCCGAAGCCCCCACCCCGCCAGAGACACTGGGCGTGGGCAGAGTCGAGCTGCCCCCACCCCTCGCAATGCACTGAAACAGGCCCGGCTGACTGCTGCACGCGCATCCTGGGGCCGCCTGCGCCCGCGCCCACGCACACACTCACACACACTCGCACACAGGAAGCCAGGGTCTGAGGCAGCCTCAGGGCTGGACCCCCCTGGGCAGGCAGGGCATCCTTTCCCCTTGGGCTTGAGGACACCCCCAGGGCTTGCTGAGCATCGTTAGGAAACTGATAGAACCCTTAGGCCAAAAGGTTGTGCCCTCCCGGTGCCTTCCTGCCCGTGGCCTCCCTGAGAGCCAGGGAGAGACCACCGTGTGCGCCCCGGATGCTGTGGGTGCGGGTTCAGCCCTGCAGGTGGAGGACAACGCATGCTGGCACGTGCTCTGAGCGATGGCCCTTCCCCAACCCTCCTGTCCCCTGGCCCCTACTGTTCTAAGGAAGTCGAGTCTTTGTTTCTAAATGTCTAAACAGAGAACTGCTCCCTTGATTTCTGTTCCTTCCTCTCCAGCAGGTGGCAGGAGCCTGTGGGCGGCGGGGCTGGGGCCACAGGGTGTGGGCTGGAGACCCAGTGGATAGGGCCAGCTGGCCTGCCCTGATCCTCTGCTGTCTCCTCACCTGCCTCTCAGAGCCCCCCCCCCGACATTGTCCACCCAGGTCTGCATTCTGGAGAGAGGAGCAGGTTCTGGAAGGGGTCTCAGCCCTTAGCATCCCTGGCAGGGTCTCCTCCATCTCAGCCTTCCCCTTAAGCCCAGTGGCCACACAACCAGGAGTCTTGCCGCTGGGCCTGGCTCCAGCCTCTTGTCAGCCAGGCTGCCCGTCCCAGGAGCCCCGAACCAGCCCCACCTCTGCTGCTGTTTCAGAGAACCCCAGGGACCAGCACTGGGCTGGGCTCCACTCCCAAAGGTACGGCCGGGCCCCAGAGGGCGATCCTTCCAGAAGCCCCCACAGGCCCACACTGTCCCCACCCGCCCGCCACATCCCCGGCAGCCTCTCTGCTGTTCCCCCGGGACCTCTCATACACTGGCCCAGGAGGCTGCGGACGTCCCTGCCTCCCCCTCCAAGAGGTCCTCTCTCCCTGCCAAGCTGTGGGTGTGGGCGGTGGGCAGGCAGGTGGGTGGGAGGCGTGGCCTGGCCCCTCCCTGCTGGTTTTTAGATGGTCCCTCTGTCGGAAGTCAAAAGTGAAGCACTTTATTTTGGTTGTGTTTGATCGAGTTCTGCTTGGAAGTGGGGACCCCTCACTGTGTCCTGTGTCTGCGACCTGTGTGGAGTGTCACCACATGTACATACTGTAAATTATTTATTAATGGCTAAATGCAAGTAAAGTTTGGGTTTTGTTTTGTTATTTTCTTTTGGACTACGTGTTGGAGTTTGTTTTCGGAACAGGCTTTGGTCCCTTTGAGGGTGGAGGGTTGACTTGGGTGGTAGGTGTCCCATTACAGTGTGTGTATCTGGGGTGGGGGACAGTGCGTGTGCGTGTGCGTGTGTGACTTGGCTGTTGTCAACACCTGCAGAAGATGAAGCAGTTTAACAACCAAAGCCTCATGCTTCTCTAAAATTACTTTTTCTCCTTGTAATGAGCTATCTTTAGGGCTTAAGGCGTCCAGGTTCCCTTGCGGAGCTGGAACCATCTGGAAGACAGATGGCCACGTGGTGGAGGGACAAGGAAGGGTCTTCTGGGATGAGGTTGGGTGGGCTGGCCTGAGATCCAGGATGAGACCATCTCTGCTGCTACCATCAGGCTAGGACCCCCAAGCTGGGAGTGGCTGCTTCCTTCCCAAAGGTCCCCCTCCTGGCTCGCAGCCCAGGGATAGGGTGATGGCACTGTGGAGGGGTCTGTCAGCCTGCAAGAGACCGGAGCTTGTTTGGGGCCAGGTTAACTGCTGGCTGTCTTCACATTTCATCTTTTGAAACTACCAATGAGTCAAGAACAAATGCCTGCCCATTTTACAGATGAGAAAAGGGAGGCTCGGGGAGCTGGAGTGATTTGGCTAGGGTTACTTAGCAAGGGCAAGGCCACAATGTACACTTAGGTCTGTTTTGCCCCCAAATCCCTGCTGTGAATACTAAATGCCATGCAGCAGAAGAGCAGCAGATTTAAGCCAGACCACATCTCAGCTTCTCCACTTTCCTAGCTGTGTGACCTTGAGCAAGTCACTTAACCTCTCTGAGCCTCCATTCCCTCTTCTGTAAAATGGGCTTGCCCATCCCATAGAGTTGTTTGAAGATGCAGTGAATTAATTCATGTAAAGTACTTAGGACAGAGCCTGGCACACAGTGAGTGTCCAGTGTTGGTGCCATTCTTATCCCAAGCAAGAGGGGTTGAGTGGGAAGGTGTGTGAAAGGAGGGGGAGAGGGCCACGTGGACCCTGGAGCTTGGTAGGGAGAGGAACTGAGAAGCCCAGAGAGTGACTGTGTACACCAGTCCCAAGCCGAAGAGGAAGCTAAAAATAGGAGGAGAGGACTTCCTATTTTTACGCAGACTCCCAGACAGAACAGGGGAACCTGGGCTTCGGGAGGGAGAAACCAGCCTGGAAGGGACAAAACCAGGCTGGACCATCCCCACGCACCTTACCTAGTCGCCCAGACTCATCCTCGCTAGCAACTGGGATGAAATAAATTACTCACTTGGGGGTCGGGGGTGGGGAGGTGTTGACACCCCTGTTGGCCTTTGGCCAGCACAGAAGAACACATTATTGAGAAGCCGGGGAACACGGGAGGGGAAAAAAAAATGTCTCGTTCACCATCAGATGAAAATGCTACGGCACTTGCCAGAAACTAGTCTTGGGTTGGAATTCGTTCAGGACCCTAAACTTAACCTGCTGGAATTCTTTTCCAAGTACCACGCTGCTGGTGAACATGGAAGTTTGCATTCATCGTGAATATGGAACAGCGTCTTAAGCTCCGTGGTCCCCAAGAAGCAGGGTCATCTTGCTGGGCGGGCCGGGTCTAGAGCAGAGACCCGGCGCAGCTCGGCCCGGCCGGGCGGCCTGGAGGCACACGCAGCGGCGAGAGCTCCCGGAGATCCCGCTTGGTGAAGCAGAATTTGTCAGGATAGAAGACGGGAGACAAGGAGCGACCAGAAACAAATCAATGCGAGTCATTTATAATGCAGGGGGGGCAAATCTGGGGATGAAAATGATCACCAGACACTTGGACAGAGACCCGCTGGAGCCAGGCCAGAGGGGGGCTCGTCAGAGTCGGGCCAGCCAGCCGGCGGGTGGAGCAGGGGTGGCACTTGGTCCCGGGCGGCAGGCCGACTTGGCCTCCAGACTGCCTCTGCCCGTCGCTGACTGTGTGGTCTCCCTTGGATTTTTTGAACCTTAGATTCCTTATTTGTAAAATGGAATTATGAGTACCAAACTCCCAAGGCCATGACAGAACTCCAATGAGCTAACGCTCATAAATTGCCTCGCACATGGGCCCTGGCGCGCCCGGGCAGCGCCGGGAGGCTGCCAGAAACGGCCATCGCCTCCCTTTGCGATTGCCTGTGTTCCTCGGTTCATCGGATACCGCTCTCAGGATCGCTGGTGCCGGGGGGCACAGCAGAGGCACGTGCACGCTAGCTTGCGTTCTCGTTGGAGACACAGGTCTGTCACTAAGCACTTCTGGAAGTGAGTGCCCCATGGTGACAGCGACATGAAGAAGAGGGTTCACGGGGCAAAGGTTCAGAGACAGATGCAGAGTCAAAGTGGGGAGGAGGTCAGCAGGGACCTCTGACTAGTTCACCTGCGTGAATCCAGGGAACAGGCCGTGCAAAGATCTGGGGAGAGCATTCTCCACGGAAAGGACGGTGAGTACAAAGGCCCTGAGAGCAGCAACCCAGAGAGTTTAGTGGCAGCAGGAAGCAATGTGACTGGGGAGCAGTGAGAGGACAGACCAGGGTCCAGAGTGAGGTCACAAAGTGGCCGGGGCAGGGAAGGCCTTGTTATTCCAGTTGCCCTAGGAAGCCGCCAGCAGGCTTTGAGCATGGAGAGATGGGCCTGACTCCGGTTCCAAAGGAATCACTGCAGGAAAGAGTGGGACCATCAGGGGAGATGGTCAGGGGCTGCAGCACGAAGCCAGTCAGAGGTGGGATGTCAGAGGCAAAGCCAGAGATGATGCGGACGATGGGCTTTGGAGTTTAATGTGCAGATGGAGCTGGCAGGGTTTGGGGAGTGAAAGAATTTGAAAGAGAACCAAGATGCTGCCTCCAGGTGTGGGGGCTGGGCTCCAGGGAAAGCCAGAGTAATATGTACTGAGACCAGGGGGAACAGGTAGGGAGCGGCTCTGGGAAACCGACAGCAGTATCCGCACGTAGCTGGACTGTTCTTAATTTTTAAATCTAAATGGTGAAACTTCCAAGAGCAAATTTGTAAGGAGTGAAGGGTTCAACATAAACCTCCCAAACAAAGGGAAAGTGTTATTTGTAGTTGCCCAAGTCAATTGCAAAGCCATGGTTGGTAAGAGGCCTGGCAGGGGTCTCCTGGCTGTTGTGAGGGAGCTGAAGATGTTTGAAGGCTGTGCCAGAGCAGAGAATCTTGGCAGCCCCATGGGTTAGGTGGCCTGGGCCACACCCTTGGGAAAAGACAGCTGGCTTCTCTAAGATTGAGCTTAATATCATGCTCATAAATATCCAATTATGCATGAACCAAAGTCTTGATCCTGATGGGGATAATGATGCTAAATTTGAAAAATTTTACTTAAAAGAATAGCAGGGAAACCTGGGTGGGGCATGTTAACTCCCCCAGCTACCGGACGATGTAGTGGAACCTCTGTAGACTAGAAAGAGTCCCCTTCAAGCTGTGGCCTTGCCACTTGCTGGCCACGTGACCTGCAGGCGGTTCTTCATCCACCAAATGAAGGTGGACCGTGAAGAGAAGGGACAGGAGAGAGGGTCCCCCGGGTCTGAAGCCTGAGAGGCTTGGGGTCAAAGGAGGAGATGGCCCAGGTGTGCCGTGGGTACTGGGCTGGGACACCAGTCCAGGGACGGCCATCAGCTGTCCCAGGTGGGGGAGGCCGTGTTGGCAGTCCCAGACTTGATCCTGCAGGTGCGGACCCCACTCCCGAATGCCTGGAGACTGGAGTCACCCCAGCCAATGCCACGACAGCTCCATTTTTGGATACCTGCCATGTGCCGGGCGCCCTGCCAAGTGTTTGCTCCAGGGACTGATTTATCACGGCGGAGCCCCTTCCAGCCGCCTCCTTCCTGGAGCTCAGGTGACTGGAAGCCGGGGTTCCATCTGAGGGGTGTGGCGAGCAAGGCTCCCAGGTGGCCCTCAAGTCAAGGCAGGGGGCCTGGACCACCAGAGACCAAATGCCAAGGTGCGCAGAGCCAGGGGGACGCCAGCACTTGCCTTGCTGAGCTGACACATCCTTCCCGCTACTAATGATTGACTGGGGTGGGGGCTGGTGGTGACTCCCTCAAGGAAGTGCCCAGGCCCCTCCCTCTGGGTGTTGATCATGTGGGTCTAACCTGCCTTCTCGCTCTCCTGTCCTTCCTGGCACCAACACTGGTAGGCGCGTCCCCTGTGAGCCCTGGTCGCAGTCTAGATTTTGGGGACACATTCATTTATGCTGCACACATTCAGTGAAGCCCTGTGATGTGTTGGGGGCTGTGCTCGGGGCACTTGGGCCATTGAATGAGGTGGGGACAAGCTTCAGCGGCAGGAGGAGCTGGGGTGCAATCTGAGCTCCACCACTTCTGAGCTGTGTGATCTTGAGCAAGTCACTTACAGTCTCTGGGCCTCAGGATCCCCAACTGAGAAATGGGGATAAATCCGACCTCAAAGAAATTTTGTGTGTGTGAGGACTAAACAAGAAAACACAGTACAGCCACAGATCCTGGCACCCAGTGACCCTCTGTGGATGGTGGCTTCTGCCTGTGGACCCATCACACAGGCTGCTTCGTTCACTCACAAGTCTAGGCCATGAGCAGCTTGGGGTTCATAATATACGGATGCTTTCCGGGGACCCCAGGCCCTGCAGGGCTGGAGTTAATTCATGAGGATGAGTACAGATCTTTGTAATTACAGCTCCTTCAACTATAAAATCAAGACCCATTTATTAAGCCCATACAAAACTATAAAACCAATAAATCACAATTGAGCAGCATTAATTTAAACCACGGGTGATGTTTTGCGGACACTGAATGGCATGGGGGGAGCCATCCGGGTCCAGGCTCTCTCCGGCTCAGCTGTCTGTCGTCTGTGCCAGGCAGTGACTCCGTCCCCCCGTGCCTTTCACTCCTCAGACCCTGGGAAGCCCCTCGTCCCGGGTCCCCTCTCCCCCTGGGGTAAGGAGCCCTGACCCCTTGGCCCCAGATCAACCCTTAAGTCCTGGGCTCCTCCTCGCCCTTCCCGAGGACCCAG